GTCACTTCACGATGGAAAGTGCCCAGGTCTTTTCTTGAGGTTGTGTAAGAGCAGCATCATTTGAACCGGCAGAAGGTGAAAGCTCAGGTGATGAAATCCAGTTTAATCCTCAGAGTTCCTCTGCCCTGAGAAAGTTATTCACTGCAGACATCAGATGTTCATCATGGCACCATCTTCCAGTTAAATTCTCTGTAACTGTAATGCCAACCTGAACTGCTAAGTGAACTATGTATCTAGTGATCCAAACCCAATTTATGAAAAGTGGCCAAAACAAAAACAAAAACCACCACAAAAAAAAGAGGGCTGCAGTCATAAACCTCCTAGTACTTATCATTTCCTGAGAGGTGCCTTGGGCTGGATAGTGTGCTAAGCACTGTATGTGCATTACCTAATTTGACCTTCACAACCTGAAAGAAGCAGGCATGAACCTAACCAACTCTGAGCAAGTAAAACCATACAAAGAGCTCATCTTTCTGGTTAATCAGTACGATTAGGCAGGTAAGTTCTTTGAAATTATTTGAAAATTTACAGATTGACCAAGCAAAGAGACTTTTCCTCTTCTTAGAGAGAGGAAGGAAGAGTCTAATTACCAGGGCTGAGCCACAGGTATCCTCCAGGCAGAAAACCCCCAGCGGTTACAGCGAAAACAGGAAGAAGAAAAAGATGGAGTCTAGATTTGAAACAGGCAACTGCATCAGGTGTCTTGGAACTTCAGGGCATACAAAGTTTCACTGAACTCTAGACAACCTCTAATTAGAAAACTGGAGAGGAATGAGGAAATTTTTCTTTTTCATTTTTTGCTACTAAAAATAACTCTTTCCTTTCATACCCAAGCCTACAAAAAAAATCTTTGTATAAATTCTGCTTTTTTAAATTGACATGTCTACTGCAAATTCCCTACTCAACAGCCACTCCTCTTCTCCCTAACCAAGAAACCCCAATGTGACAGTGTGGCAACTTGCCCAGTTGAAAACACCCTTGAAACTTAAGGCAGTTTTAAGGCCCAGTTCTGACCAATGAAATGTAACTAGAAGTCTCCTTGGTGAGGTTTCTGGCTATTGTTTCCTGATAGGAAGGGACACACTTCACTGGCAGGCACCATGAACTCTTGTACTATTCTCTCTTTCCCTGCCAAGGATACAGATCTGACCCCTGGGGAACAACCAGCCAGCATCAGCAACCATAAGAACAAGTCACAATCTCCAGACGGCAGAGCAGGTGTCTGGAAGGGGCAAGGGTAAAGCAGGACATTGTCCAGTAACCGCACCTTCCCTCCACTGGACTTCTTGCAGGGAGCAAAATCACTCCTGTTTGCTTCAAGCCCTGGGGTTGAGTTTCTGATGCATGGAGCCAAATTCAATACTAATAAATGTGCGAGGCTACCTGAAAATTAATCCCTCCTAAAAGACCAGGAGTTTTAAACTCATATGGAAATAGGAACCGGGCAGATCAATGTGAGTAAATCTGACCAGGTGTATTAAAAGTAAGAAACAGGGAACTGGAGAGGGCAGGCCGCGTGTAAGCCGGCACCGTTAGCAACTCCAGCCAACTACTGTGGTGTAGGGACGAATGCCAGCCCAGCCTGCCCGCTGGGCCGCAACTTCTGGTTTCCAAGAGGAGCCCCAGAGCTGGATTTTCACATAAAGTTTCCCAATTTATAAATGATCACAACCAAATTGGAAAAATGTCTAACTCTCAAGGACCAAAGCAGGCACAACTGTAGATTATTAACCCTGTTTTACCAATGAGGCACAGAGGCTTAAAGAGTAACTTTGTTTGGTCACAGAGCTAACATGTGGCAGAGTCAGGATTTCAGCACCCCAAGGACCATGCTCTTATCCGCTGTCCATGAGGAATGCCCACTGCGCCCGGGAAGCACAGAACCTGCTTCAGATCACTGCTAGTCAACCTGTGGAGAAATGAGAAGCAGCCCTTGGAGAGACTTCCAGATCGGTTCTAAGAGATCCAGGCTTATAAGCACCTTCTCTGTGGCCCTTTAATAAAAACAGCAAAGCTCTGTCCAAATATTCTCTTATTCACCAGCTTACTGAATGAATGAATGTTTGTAACAATGCCTCTCAGTTCATTAAAGTGCTTTTAAATGCATATCTCACTTAATCCTCATGTCAACCTAATGGAACTGTTACAGATAGTGACCTGGAGGATTAGTGAGATTAGTGTGTCTGTTCACAATCCAGGCAGTTAGCAGGGCCCAGGCTCGAGGCCTGGTTTTCTGATGCCACGCCTGAGGACCGCTGCTCTGCTGCCTCCACCAGGCCCCACCCACCACCTCGCTTTAAAATAATCGTTTGTTTGAACAAATTCCTACGTAAATCTAAAGTAACTCCAGTATGTCTGACTGCCCCCAGGTACCATATTTACATTTTCATAAATAGCTTCATCCTCAAATATAGTCAGTGAGAGGACAAAAATAAATATATCAAGTAATATACTCAGAATTGGAATGTAAATGGGCACACACACAAGTCTTACAATCTAATTTTAGAAAGAAACAGCCAAAGAGTCCCACGCAGCACAGTGTGCATCTGGCCCCGGGGGAGGCTGCCCGCACTGCTTTACACCTCACTTAGCTCTGGGAGAGAAAGAATCCTGGAATTCCAACTGGCATTTCGCTGTCAGAGGCACCAGCTGGGTGAAGAATAGAATGACTTTTCATCATGTTCTCCCAGAAAAATGCTAAGGCTCAGAGTAAGGGAAAAAAAACACGGTAGATGCCTCTGGGGAAGTGTGTAGGGATTCCAGAAAGGCCGAATCTCTGAGAGGTTCACCAGTCTATACTCCGGAGTTTGGTGCTCACAGAACTGACTCTCACCCGCGAGCCGAGAGGAATGGGAGTGTAGGTGAATCGTGCCCACTGAGCCCAGCCTGGAAGCTGAGGTGGAATGGGGACCACACGGGGCTTCAAGGCCATCAGGACATCCTGGCCCATCTCAGGCTCACTCGCCCAACCTCCATGGGTGGCTACAATCTCCTTCACAATTAAATAGGCTTGTAGTCAGTCTTTGTGGCTGCCAGTGATCACAAGAATATAAATTTCATTACAGCAGGGGATTATGTCTCTTTTGTTCACTGAAATATGCCAACCCCCTACAATGGTGCCTAGAACACAGGAAGCTTCAAAAATTGCTTGTTAAATAAATGAACAAATGAGCTGGTGTTGGGATGGGTCCTTCTAGACCCATGGTCTAAAGTGGCCACAGGCCAAGAGTGGATGTCCATGAACCCAGTCATTGGCTTGCCCATCTTCTCTTTACAGACATACACCACTGCAGTTCAAGCTCCTTGAGATCCAGGCTTGGGTCTGGTATGTCTTCTCTCACTGTCTGCCTACGTTATGCCACCATCCCTAGTCACCTGCCTCCAGTGTGCCACCACTGCTGCCCCCAACCCTGTAACGCTCTTACTTGGCTTCTGGGAGCCCTCGTCACACACTACGCACTTCCCTGTGATCCTTTGTGGGGACAACTGCATGCCTGCTCTGTGCCAGGGGGACGATAGTGACACACAACCCTCACTTTCCAAAAGCACACATCTTCTGAGGCATCCAGGCCAGTGAACAATTAGGCTACAGTGTAATAAGCTCTGCAAGGGAGGCCCTAGGGCCTGAGTCACAAACTGACAGTCCTCAGGCCTAATCTCGCCCATGTGGTGATTTAGTTTTTATAATTAGTAGCTAACCGCTAAAAATGTGTTGCTCTCACATAAAGTTTCAGACTGCCAGAATCTCTTGGGAAATCAGATCTGGCAATACTGGACCTGTACACCCAACAATACTAGCCGGCTGCGGTTATGGGGTGGTTACCCCTTCAGGGGGTACCTGTGGCCTCTGGTTCCCTCGACCTCTCAATCCTGCTTCCCAACCTTTGGCTTCAGGCAGTGAGGCCAGGGGTTAGTCACCAGCTTTTCTGTGTTGGCATGGTTGTTATTTGAGAGGAGAAATAATTCTCTGTACCCACATCTCTACGATCAGTGAGAAAATGAAAGATAAACTGAAAGGGCCACGTGGAACGCTTAAAGACATGGTGAATTTATTTCCCATGGAAGTGAAGGATACTCCTACCCAAGTGATATGGAAGTCAAGTGTGTCTGCATCTTGTCCACAACAGGCACCTGCCTGGCCCAGTAGGCCTCCCAGCATATATGCCCTCATATCTGTCATAAACCTACCATGGGCCAGTGAGCTGGGCAATTGAGAAGCCAGGTCACCTGTTTGTCCAGAAACTCACTGTCCAGTGGGCCAGACGCATGAAAAGCAAATTAGCACATAATGTGAGATGTTCTATAACAGGTACTAGGGGCAACTGCGAGGTCAGAGCCCTAAGTCAGCCTGGAGAAAGTAGGAAGACCTGGCAGAGAGGATCATCCATAAGCCAGCACTTGAAAAGGGCAAAGTTTTTTCAGATGGACAGAGGGTAAAAAGAAGTTCTGAGGAAACTGCTGAAAATAGTGCCCTGGCATTAAAAGCATTGCTCATCAAGATTACCCACCCTCCGCAAAGCAGCTGGATAAATTCCCACGATTCCAGGCCACTCGGAAGAGTTTCCAGGAAAGTAAGATCGCCTTCCTGCCCGAAGACTGCAGAAAGCGCAGGTCACTGCCGAGAGCAAACGTGCAGTTGTGTAATCCAACTTTACGTCACCAGCATGCCTCACTGGCATTTATCTGGCAGGAATAAAAACCCGGATTTTGACTGGATTTTGAAACTTCCCAGCCCCTGGCTTTCAGCTAACTTAACAAAACTTCTTCATTGAGCATATAAAGCAATGCACAGAAACTGCTCCGGCATCAAAAAAAGAGAGTTCCTCTTTCATTTCTTGCTAATAGGACAAATGCTGAGGAAGGGCATCCCCAAGTCAAGATAGGAAGAAGGCTGGCATTAAAGAGAGGAAAGAGGAAAAAATTTAGAAGACCAAATCCTGGCTCACTGAGTAATCACTACCTGTTAGAGTGCATTTCTTCAGAGTTTTTTTAACACCCACCTCTGCAGTCAGAGTCAAAAAGGAATTCTTGCCACTGTGATGATTCTCGACTTGAGAGGACTCCTGTTGAGCTCGGCGACCCATCTTGGCCCCCTGTAAGGAGAGATGAGGGGAACTGCTGGCGCAAACGTCTCTGAGCCACTATGAGGAAGACAATTCTGGGAAGGTAAGCAAGGAATGGATTTATGACGACCTGGTGGAGGATGGGATTTGAGTAACTTGAATGTATACTTAGAAAATGCTCCAGACTCTTAAAACAAAGCACCTGAGGTCAGTTCCACATGGTAGGAGAACAGGAATTCCACGTGTTGATTATGTTTTCTATTAACAGCCACAGATCTTTTCTACCAAAGAAATGCAGCTAGAAATTCCTCTAGAATGGGCAGGGACCTCATGCCACAGCTCAGGAAGAGTGTGGTCAAGGCTCCCATGTTCCTATGTGGGATTTTAAGAAGGCCTAATTTCAAAGATGCAGCTCAGCCTGAAAATAGTTATCAGAAAGGTGTTTTGAGGGGAAAGAATTCCTAAATTCCATGGCAGCTGAAACCAGAGAAATACAGATAGCATTTGCTTTGACGTATACATTGGTTTGCACTTACAGACATTAAAGGAAAGCTCTTACAAGAATTTTGAGACATCAGCTTTGGAAATCAGAGCACTTCAAATTCCACGTCATCAAATGAACCACTTGCAGGTGTTTCCCAAAGCCCTCCTGGGGTGGAGGCTCTGTGTCCCAAATGCCTCCCAACACATACACAAAACTTGATTTAGGCAGACTAATGGGTGTTGAAATGTTTATATTTTTCAGTTGTTTGCTTTTTTAAAAAACAGCATTAATGTAAGGACTTTTCCATCTCATTTGATGTAGCTTCATTTGATTTTACAATAACAGGGACTGAGAGTGAGGCCATGTTACAATTTTTACAAAAGAGGAAACTTAGTCCCAGGAAAGCCAATGAGTGGCAGATGTAAATTCAGGAGCAAAATCTCCTGTCTTCACACCCTGAGTTCTTTCCACTATACCCTGCTGAAATTTCAGTTTTAAGATGTTCTAAGAACCGACTGCACCAATAAACAGAGAGATTACACGAGAGCTGTGTAAAACTCCTAATGTAGTGTTTACATGTCAAATTCTAACCAATCATTTAGGTTTCAGAGATGATGGAAACAATGTTTTTAACAATAAGCAGCTCACTTCCTTCCCAAGGCAGACAATTTCAGCCCTTTGCCTAGTTGCCCTTTTCCATTTATCGTAACTTTGGGCACCTGAATATGGCATACTACATGCAGTGATTATATTCAAACAAACATTCAAGGATCTTGTCCCTAAATGCTGTTTATAGATGGTTTCTCCAGTAACTGTCAAGTATGTTAAGTTTTAAGCTTTTTGAAGACCCTGTATAAATCTACACGAATGACTGGTAGAAAAACTAATACCTGATTTTGTCTGTTTTAAATGTATAGTCTGTTTATTGTCCATCCTCCTTCACTGGAATGTAAGCCTCATGAGGGCAGGAACTTAGTTTTTTTCACTGGTATATCTCTAGCACCTAAGACAATTAATGGCTGATACACAGCAGGGGTTCAATAAATATTTGTTGAAAGAATGAATGAATAACTACAGTCACATCCCCAGGTACTAAAAGAGTTCACATACCAGAAAGACCTGGTGACTCAACATTCTCCTTTGGTCAAGCAACCTGCTTCATCCTAGAACAATCTGCTCCCATTCCTCATAGTTCCTCTCTAGTAGGAAAGGACATCTGATGTAACTAGGGCACTTTCAAACCACGTAGGGATCCCAGAGCAGAAACCAAAGACCTGCCTTGTGGGTCAATCTTTTAGGGACTGTGAACTTCGATAATTTTAAAGGCAAAAAGGCTTGATGGGGTTGTGATAGGGTACGTACGTACGTACGTACACACACACACACACACACACACACACACACACACACACACGAGCTTAGGTCTTGAATCTAGCTGTTATTTATTTATAACTTTGGGTAAATCACAGCCTCAGAAGCAACAGCAGCTAACATCTAATAATTTAGCCAGCCAGTGTTAAATGCTTTCCATGCATATCTCATTTCATCTTCACTGCAACTCCTTGAAGCAGACATCAACATCTCTGTTCTAGCGATAAGGAAATCGAGGTTCCGGGAGGCTAACTTTTATTTTTTAACGCACGATACAGCTTGACCCCTGCGCCCCTGAAGCACCTAGCCACTCTTCGTTATAAATCTGACTCCTGATTTCCTGAACTATAAAACTGAGGTAAAGCCCACCTCCCCATGGGGATCAGTGGCAAGAAAGGCCCTTCCTGTCTACCTACCTTCCTTCCAAGCATAAAACAGAGCGGTTTTTACGTAAACTTCTGGCATGAGAAGTCCCAAGGGCAAAGCTCTAGAATGAGCCCAAATGCGACCCCGGCCAGTCACCCTCAGATCTGTCCATTCTAGGGGATTTGCCACTTGGAGCTCCAGAGAGCAGAGAGAAGCTGGGAGATTTCCCATCAGTCCCAGAGGCCGGCGGGGGCAGGTTCTGTTTTCCACTCTTTGAGGATTTTATAGAAAGCAAACCCTAGGCCAGCAGCGGAGGAGCTCTCCGCTGCCCCAGGGGCGGGGCGAAGGAGGCCGCCTCCTCCCCGGCCTCACCCTAGAGCGGCTCGGAGCCCGGCCGCCCGGGCCGCCAGGCACACGCTGGGCCAAGGCTCCTCAGGGAAGCCGGAGCGGGCGGGGTAGCTCCTCCCCACCCGCCAATTCCTGGCCCCAAGCCCCCCGAGTCGGTCCTCACGGTGGTGGCCGAGCCGCGACGTCGTTCCTCGCCTAGGTCCAGCACGTCGTCCATCTCCGCAACAGCCTGACGTCACTTCCTGGAAACCCAGCGTCCCTGTCGCGTCCCTGACGACGGCTCCGCCCTTTCATCCCAATACTTAAAGGGTCCGCCGCGTTGTTCCTGGATACTACGTACCAACCTCCAGTTTAAACCAAATCTTTCCTAAACCTGCCTTGTTTGACTTCTGGAAGAAATCCCCAGATAGTAAATCCTGCTAAGGGTGCTCCTGGGGGACACTGAAAAATTTTAGTTTTTAGAAACTGCCTACATTTGTAGCTCTGTTCAAATACACACATTATTAAGTGCAAAGCACTACTACTAATAGTAGCAATTATGCTGATTTCTTCTGTTTGCATAGATCTTTGCAATGTACAGAGGACCTTCACAGCTATTAGCTCATGGGAAGCCCCTAACTACCTTGTGTGGGAAGCAAGATAAGTTGTATTGTCCCCACTGGACAGATGAGAAAACACTCACACAGGGGGTCAGGTGATAATAAATGGTTTAATAGTGAAAAGTGCAATATATATACATATATGTAATCTCTGCCTTCCAGAAGTTTACAAAGAGGCTGAATCAACACATCAAATACCTGAGTGTTAATAACTTTCCAAAGTACAAATAATCTTTCGAACACCCCGTGAACAGCAGTAGTATCTCTAGTCAACAATTGAAGACACTCACATGCAGAGCAGTACCTTGAGGAGAATCACCTGAGTGTTCAGTGGCAGAGCCAGGTGCTTTTCTGACACCAGATCTTACTAAAGAATATTTCTCTGGCACATATTACGAGGTGCCAGCCATTCTTCTAGGCCAGCAGAGGAAGATGGTCACCAAATTCCCAGCCTAATGGGACAAGTGAGTTGATTCTTCACTGATTCTCCACGTGAGATCCCCACGTCAATACCACTGACCAGGTCCCTGATACGGGGGACCCTCAGCTGAGACCCCCAGAAGGTGGGCTTATGGCCCTGAAAGTGAACAATGTCCCCGAAAGTGAACAATGTCCCCAACATCATGCTGGGGGTAAGGCTTAGATGGCTACCTCTTAAAAGTGAAGACTTGGAAGTGGGAGTAGTGACCCTAAAACTAGAATGTGGGATTTCTTTAATATCCATTAAATTATTCAGTTCAACCATTCACGCACACATATTTACATATGTTAGCATGCCTGTGACAGCAACAGTACTGTCTGGATGTCAGAAGAGTTGAAGCTTCATCCTAGCTCTGCTTATAACTACTTATATAGCCAAGCAGAGCCCTCCCTGGACCTCAGCTTCCTTCTTTGCAGTCATCCTTAGAGATTACCCTTAAAATATTCTACTCACTAACTCTGATTCTCAGTGAGAATAATACATCATTTGATTTTTAACCTGAAGAAACATTCATTGCCAAAAATCCAAGATGGATGGAATATGGGCTCCAGTGAATCCCTTGTTCCTTTATTCTTTGGCATCAGATGAGGAAGAAGGGATTAATCTTTGGATTTATCCATTTCCTGTGAGCTCTGTCAAACAACAATCAGGATAAAGGCTGCAAAGAAAAAAGAGATTTATTGTTGGGGGGGTCTTAATAATTGTAATTTGAGAGACACAGATTCTGGTAAAATCAAAAGAGTATTCCAGGGAAGAGAAAGAGTCAGGGGCTTACAAAGGCAAAAGCCAGGAGTCTGGACTCTGACATAAGAAAGGAAAGATTTGTTTTTAAAGAATCACAAGTTATTTTAGAGTAAGGGTCTGATACATAGATAGGTTGTCACGAGTGACTACAGGGTAGGGGTCTGATAAATATCTTGAGTTTCTGGCAGATCTTCTGGATACTTTCATTAGGACAATAAGTGGTCAAAAGGTCAGATTTTATCCAGGCTGAGACTTGCATAATTCACACTTCCTCAATGGCCTTCTGGTTCCATTTGAGAGAGCTGTGTTAGCAATACTGACTCCATTTCTAGTTTTCTCCCATAGCTCAGAACCACACCATCTTATAGCCAGTTTCCAAATCTTTACTCCAACTTCTTCCCCAACTTCCTGAAAGCAAAAGGTGAGTGGTGCTCACTCTGGGAAGACAGAAGCCCTGGCGTAGTGACTTCCAAACCATGCTGGGCACTTGACTCACCTGTGACGTTTGTTAAAAATACATGTGCCAGGGCTCTATCCCTGTAGACTCTGATTTGGTATAGGTGGAATCCAGAAGAATATTACTTTAATAATTTTCCCTCCCATTTTGCAAGTATTTAATTAAAGGCCCCAGTAAAGCCTTCTCTGATTTTAAATTATAGCGTCCTCCCCCGCCCCCAACCTAGGTACTCCCTAAACTTCTTGCCTGCTTTATTTTCCACCATGGTACTTATCTTTTATCATACTACATTATTTACATATTTATTTTATTTATTGCCTTCCTTTTGCCCCGCTTCCACCTCTAGAAAGTAAACTCCATAAAGGCAAGGTTTTGTTTGTTTTGTTCAATGCTGCATCCACAGCCTCTAGAACAGTGCCTGGCATATAGCTGACATCAAATATATTCCTCAGATGACTCAGTGAATTCCAGAGGCAGCGTAGCATACTAATTAAGTGCATAGACTCGGGCAATAGATTTGCTGGGTCTAAATCTCAGTGTTGACACCCATTGGCTATAAGATCTAAAAGTAACCCAGAAGTAAGTTACTTTGAGCTTTCTACACCTAGGAGTCCCCATTTGTTATGCAAATAAAAATAATGCCCTCCCAAACTGGAGAGCCCTAGTTAAATATCATCTCCACTACTCTTTAGCAGTGTAGCCTTTTAAATCGCTCGGTGCCTCAGTTTCCTCAGCTGTAAACTGACCAACCACTGCCTTGGAGATGCAAAAAACATCCCTTTCGTTAGTGACCTAGGAGCCCCGGGCAGGAACCAGACTCCGCAGGAAGGGTCAGAAAAGCTTGGGTGAGGTGGGAGGGGATGGTGGGGAGCAGCACTGATTCCCAGGAAAGTGATCAGTTCAGAGACAATCCTGTGTTGGGGGCGGGGGCGGGGCGCGCATTGCGGCTTGCATTCCCTAAGCTTTTGATGGGAAAAGACCTAGAAGCTTAAGGCTGAGAAAAAACGAAAGCGGAGAGAAAGCCTCCCCTCACCCATCTGGGAAATGGGCTCGGGCCAACTGCTGACTTTGCGCTCGCTGGCCCGGCTCCCTGCGGAACCCTCGGCGGGGAGGGAGGCCGCGAACATCTGGAGGACATTTCTGCGAGAGCCGCTGCACAGCGGGGCTCCGGGAAGGGAGAGGTGCACTTGCGCGCACGTCGGGCCGAGAGGGGAGCTGTACCCCAGGGCACCCAGTCTTGTTTTCCTCGCCCTCTTTCGTAGCCCCTTCTCCCCAGCCCCTAGCCTCACCCCCGCCCCAGCCCTACCAGCCTTCCCGGCTCAGACCTGCGGAGCCTCCTTCACTGGCGGCCTCGCCTCGCCAGAGGGCACCCTCGATCTGCCGGAAAACGCCACCATTTTTCAATGCCCTTGGAGCATCTCCAAGCTTCAGCAAGCCACCCGGCTCCGATCTTGTCAATGAAGAATCGGGGCCAGGATCGCCGCGGAGCGGAACCCAACGCCAACCCCGCTCCAAGAGCGGGCGTCACCCCCACCGAGGGTGGGCACGGCTGCCCACGTCGGGCCCCATGCGCTCTCCTGCCCCTGCCCAGTGTCCCGCCTGGCCCGGGGGTGGCCCAGGACGGAGGGGGCCAGGAAGGGAGCGAGAGACGGGCCGAGGAGAGGACGGACTGACAGCTGGCGAGAGGGCGAAGGAGTTGGGGGAGAAGGAGGGAAGGGATTCATCGGAGTAACTTTCCAGAAAAACAGTCAACGTGTAGCAGGAGTGACTCCAAGAGGGGAAAAAAAGTTCAGTTACCACGTCGATCGAGAGGACTCGCAAAGTATTTTTCAAATGGGCTCGGCTTTTCCTGTGCCTGTTTAAAACATTAAAATCGTGCAGCAAAAGAGGCTGCGTGCGCTGGTCCCTCCCCCCACACCAGCCCCCACCTCCCCTCCGTCCCCCCACCCCGCCCCGGGCCAGAAACGTCATGGGAGGGAGGTATAAAATTTCAGCAGAGAGAAATAGAGAAAGCAGTGTGTGTGCATGTGAGTGTGTGTGAGAGAGGGAGAGGAGCGAGAGGGAGAGGGAGAGAGGGAGAGGAGCTGGAGGGAGAGAAAGGGAGGGAACCAGGACGCCAAGTCCAAGGGAATGAGCAAGAGAGGCGAGAGATAGGGGAAGAAGCATGAGAAAGAAGGAATAACAGCTTTCCGGAGGAGGCGTGCAGTGAACTGGCTTCTATTTTATTTTTCTTTTCCTTTTTATTTTTTAAAGACAAGGAGGGAACAGAAGCAGTGGCCGAGGGAGAAGACAAGCTGAGGTGCTGGTGACCTGGGCGTCCAAGTGGATTATTGGGGCTGCTCTCCAGGGGCTGTCCCCCCTGCCTTCCAATTGCACATAAGCCCACATCCCAGCCAATGAAGATGAGAGGCAGCGTGAACAAAGTCATTTAGAAAGCCCCCGAGGAAGTGTAAACAAAAGAGAAAGCATGAATGGTGTGCCCAAGAGACAAGTGTGTCCTGCGCTGCCCCCACCTTTAGCCGGGCCAGCAGCAGCCCAGCCCTGCCTCTCCCCACCTACTCACTGGTGATCTTTTTTTTTTTTTTTTACATTTTTTTTTCCTTTTCTTTTCCATCCTCTCTTCTTATTCTCCTTCAAGGCAA